TGAAATCGGAGAAATACCGTTTCTCTAAAGTGTTCGTGTGATATTGTACGAGATTGTTTGCGTGTATACACCTCCCAGAAAGATGAATACAAATATCAAGGCGCAATTAGATGTAATTTCGGAAAAAGCATTTGGAGTTGAAATTTATGGTGAATTCAATTAACTAGTTTCTGCATTCTCTTGTTCTCTGTATGTTACATTACATCTCATTTTCTACTTCGTATTTCTGATTCAATAATAATACGAAGACAATAGTAATTTTGCAATTAAAAGCGCACGGAGTCTTTTCTCAAATCATTAAACTGCACGAACTCTTCTTGTAAATTATTTAGCTATTTTAAATTGTTCAATTATTTCTTCTCGCTTCTATTATCCATTAAGTTTATCAGGTAATTACTTTCATACATGTCATGTAGATCCGGTTTTTTATTATCTGGTTAACTTGTAGTTAAGCTCAATTGACAATTTTCAATCTGATGTTTCATTCAATGAGTTTCATCCATGACATCAACATAGAAAGTCTATTAGATAAAATATCAGGTTAAACCTAATCATAAGTTAAAGTAATGAAAAAACGGGCCATAGAATGCATAAAATGCAAGTTTGTGGCAGAAATTTAACAAAAATTAACTTCTGAAAATCTTTATCTATCTGTATTTAGTTGTGTTGTCTAAAATTCGCGCTCTACGTACAGAGGAATGAATAACATCTAACGAATCTCGTTTACAAAATTCGTTAGCCAATTGCCGCAAACGATAGTTCCCAGTTGCACACATTGTTAAATCCACTGTAAGCTTTCGAACGGCATAAATCACATCCCCGATATCATAGTACGCAGCTAAACACAAAGGACTTTAGGCGAGTCATCGAGGTGGGTGCCGGGGAAATTCGAAATACTCAGCGAAACTCGGGGAAACGCCGCAAACCATTGCATCACGCCGTTCCGAGCTCTGATAAAATTATGATAGAGCATCAATCCTAATGGAATAACCAAGAAATATCAGTTAAATTTAAGCTGGGCCGTCAAACTTTAGATATTTCGCTGATCTCCATAACTCTAGACGACGAGGGAAAAAGCAGTATCGCGCTCATTAAATTTATCAATTTATCGCAAGAAATGTGACGGATGAAGATGAAGATTGGCTTCTAGATTATTTCGATCATTATCTTTGATGTCACAATCCTTTTAAAAATAACACACGTAATTCGACATGTCGGCTGACAAGTTCTATATATAATCATAGGATAAATTTATTTTTAAAGAATGTAACGCCATCTATACTGATAATATCATTTTTATTTCTATGAGGAACATTCCAATGATCGAAATTTCAATTAAAATGAGAAAATATATACGATGTATCTTACAATCGAGATATTTTCAGAAATAAAATAAATGCATTGCGCGCGTATCTGTATGTGTATATATATGTTTGTGCGCGAGAATGTATGAGCGCACCCCCTTCGTCTGGACCGGCATTACGTCACGAAGTCAAGGAAACGGCGATAGGCCGTCGCTGTACCAGAAAGAGAAAGGGAGAAGCGACGAATGAGGTGGCCAGAGCAACGAGAGGAGAGAGAAAGTGAGTGAAGAGGGTTGCGGAGATAGGGGTGGATTCGTGCGCGTGAGGGAGAGAGAGATAAAGCAAGAAGAGAGAAAGAGAGAGAGAGAGAGAGAGAGAGAGAGAGAGAGAGAGAGAGAGAGAGACGTGACGCGTGGCATCACGTGGTGTATTGATCGTTGCGCAGCATCCACGAGAGCCATTCCTACCTACTGCTGCCAACCTTCCTACCTACCCCAAGCACTCTACCATTACTACCCTCACACTCCGTCTGCAGTCACTCCGTCTCCCATCTCTCTTCCCTCCCCCTCCCCCCGCTTTCCCCTTCGTCCTCTTCATTCACTCGTCCGCCTCCCTTCCTCCCCCTGAAACCTCCTCCATTCTCCTCCGACCTCCGCTTCTGCAACAAACCCCCTCTCGCCCCCTAAACTTGTCCTTCTGCCGCACTTCTCGACCACTCTTGACGAAACCCCGTCAGACATCCATCCTCGCATATCCAGCGAGTTAATTATTAAATGCATCATCGTGCCTGCTGGGTGACCCCTTCATCCCCGTCGTATATCTCCTCTTTTCACCCTCACTGGTCCATGCGAAATCTTCCCCTCTCTCCGCCGCCATATACTCCCTCGGTTCCTCCTCCATGAAAAGACATGGTTCATCTAAAATTTTCGACCAACTCTCTCATGATCCATCACGGGTTTTAACATCAAAGCGAGTGTAAAATTGCTTTCATCACCTCCCGATTGCGATTGCGGATTTTGTGTCGGATGCATTAAATATTTTTCCTGTTAGCCTTACACAAGAGAAAATATCAGACTAAAAGATATATTTTTCGTCTGTCAAGATTAGATTGATGATTGTATGCGTCTCTTTTTTTTCTTTTTCTTTTTATTCTTTTTTTTCTTTTTCTTCGACTAAAATCCAGCGCTTGCATGGAGATTCAAGATGGCGTTACGCGTGTAACATTTTTTTCTTCCAGTGATCCATTCCATTTTCTCCCAGCACATTATCAACGCAACAGTTTCAAAGAGTATCAGTAACGGAAGCAGAAAATGACAAATGATCTGACATTTATCGCTGTATACATAGACAGTAAATTATTCAGTACGTCAACTTGCCTTAGGAAGTTCATATTATTCCGTGTTTTATTCACGGTAATATTGATTGCTCAAAATTCAGTCAATATAATTATAAATATGGAAATCCAAAACTTTTTAGAAGATGAAGTTTCTTATTCCGAAATCACATTGCAATAGAAACACATCCGAATCCATTATTAAACACTCTTAGACAGAAAGCTTGAGTTATCTCCTTTACATCGTGTACTCGAAATTACAATTATATTTCTTTTCGAATAAAAAAATCGCGGGAGGAGATTCGCTGAATAAATTTAATCACCATTAATATCATAGCGCATTTATTTGTTAATATTTTTTCGTTTTATGATATAATGTCCCGTCGCGCTTGTTTAAATGACAAGTATTGACTTGACCTCGTTTTGAGAAAATTGGGAAAGAGAAGAGGGGGTGGGTTATATTTACGCGAAAATGACGTTGCTATCCACGTGAAACGATCTAAACGCGAGGGAAGTGTGGGATCGCGTATGAATTCGTATTACACTTTGCAAATTAATTTTAATGTGTGGCAAAAAAGCGTACAGCGTACAGTTTGCGCCATTCAATCTCCAAACTGCCGAATCGAAAAATTATTACATTCTGATATGCAATATCGCCTTTTACACTGACCTGTTTATACTCTGTCAATGTACGAACTTTAATATATAAATAATGAAATTATAGCCGGTGTTCATAGTCGGATATTAAGCCTGCGGCACATGATGCTTGTTTCTCTGTTGGATTGCTTGCGTTTTAGTAAAGCACTAAAATCGTAAAACAAAAAGCACAGAATTTTCAATAATTTATCAAAGCAAGCATCCAGCAGGAAAATAAGCATCATATATGTCGCAGGCTTTATATTTAAGACCTTCTTAAATACAGTCTTAAAACATCATAAGCCAATCACAAAGCAGTATTAGCATTTTAATCCTTACCATATAAAGAATAAAGAAACTTTTAAGTATAAAGAAACAAAAAGCGTATATTATAATTGAGGTACGATCAGCATTGAAGAGTCTCGCGATTTCTGTATCTTACAGCTTCAGTTCATATAGTGGGTATCCCTCATTTGATTATTGCAAGCTGTGTTTTAGGCCAAACGGATGCCAATAGATGCAATAGGGAACATATGTCAGCTACAGATCGTCGACGTACATGTGCGCATTTACCACCAACGCACGTTAGAGCCACTAATCAAAGTGCCACAACATTATATCGCATCACATTGCCAGGAACATTACACCTCCTGCGCGGCAAATGGCCGAAATGTTATTCGTCACAGAGATAATAACACGGTGTATCTTCATTGTTATGCTCTGCCTAACGTCTGTCGCAACCATTTGCCTGTCTGCCCGCAAAATCCATTTGTCTAACATTCTGCGACGTCAAGTGGATCTTAGCGTCGCATCAAAAGTACTCAAACCTTTCGCCAATTATGTGACAGCTATCATCAATCATACAGCACTGTATGGCGTTGCAAGAACATACAAGAACGATTTATTGTAACGAGATGTGATTCTGAATATATTTGTAGAAAAGATGCAACGACGTAATGGTGCTTAACGAGAAAGAAAAAATAAAAAGGGAAAAAAGAGCAGAAAATTTTTTAATTCTATATAGACAAGTTGATAAATATGTATGTATTCATAATGTTAATTTTTAATGCATGATTTTCTGATATGTTTTTATAAAAACTTAAAATACAGAAAAATATTTTAATAAATTTAAATTGCGTATTGTTGAATGACCCAAAATTTTTTAAAGATTGCTGAGAAGAAAGAAAAGAATAGTGGAGGAATATTATCAAAAAAGTAAATGCTGTGGTCTTAAAAATTATTCTTACATCTAAGAATTAAATTTAATCATTATAACGAACGAATTTCTGAAAGAGAATACGGAAAATAATTTTATTTAACTTTCAACAAAATACAAATTCGCATTGTTCAAATTCTCATAATAATGAACATCAGTAAAAAAATTTTCACAAAAGGATTCATTCGAGATATTGTATCATATTGTATCGCATTTTTTGAAAGAATAAGACATATAGAAATAAGAAAAAAAAGAATGTTCTTGGTACTACTTTTCCAAGGTTTACGAAGCTAGTTCTTCTTAATGGCGTCTCAACTTGTCCACGTAAGTAAGGAAACTCGATTGAAGTAACTTAGCAACAGTTACTAAACTCTTCGCCTGATTGATTGCGAATACATGTAACAGCGAGAAATGGAACAATCGGGGAGAAAACTCGAAGGTAGCGAAGTCCACTATAGTGAGAATAGACGCGACGCGATGTGGTACAAAGAATGATGGCGACGGTACTCACCCCCTCAGGCCGAAAGCTCTCTTTGCCAGCTCCAGCTTGAAGACGCTCGGTCAACAAGCAGCCGGATGCTTGAGTCTCGCCTCCTTATGACGTCTGCAACGAGTAAGGCGGTACTCCAGATTCTGTAGTCGCGTTTTCTTCTCACTTTCGCGACACTGCCGTGTTAACCGTGCTTTCTTACGTGTCGTGACGACGAATCGGAAAGTTTAAAAAAGAAAAATCAGGAGAAAGAGAAACGATCGAGGCTCTTCTCGAATTTACTCAACGGACCGTGACAAGACTGCAAAAGCGTTCGATCGGAACAAACGTCGGACGATGGGGACAACAACGTCGTAGCGCACTTCGGAGGAGGACAGAAAGAGAAAGAGAAAAAGAGAGAAAGGAAGATGTGAAAAAAAGAGAGAGAAAAGGAGAAGAGACAGCGGAGGGATAAGCTAATTTTAGAGTTAAGGATCGGTGTGAAGTGAAAGAGAGGACAGCGAAGGAGTGAACGCGCGAATACAATACATTGCGCACATCAGAGGTTATCTCGTGCGAGTGAGAGACGAGCGAGAAGATGGAGAACGTATGATCTTGGAACACACTGCCAAAAAGAATTCGATCGCCGGCCAATCATCATTCGAAGATTTACCTCCCAGTAAATAGAGATCACCGTCTCGGCCAACTGGGGCTGACACTAATAGATCTCTTAGACGGAACATCGAGCCGTCGATTGAGGCGTTTAATGTCGGGGTTGCGTGCTACCATCAGCTTAACCGTGTTCTCTAATCACGCGTGTTTATCGATGATCACATCCATCAAGCGACCTTTCTCCCTAGCAAGATACTTCTATAATCATCTGAAATGTATGCCTCAATGGCAATTATGCGCTAAACTAGTTATCCGACTATTCAGAACTATCTTCAATTGGCCGGGAAATCTATAAATGGATAGTCGCTGAATTTGATAAAACTTCAAAAGATTCTCGGAAAAATCCACTAGGAGAGCATTTTTCCACTAACTTGTTACGAATATCACAAAGGGAGAGAAAAATATGATGCTCACTGTTACTATATAACTATTTTATGTTCCTTTTCAATTTTTTTTTGTGTCTCAATGTGAGTTTCATAAACGAGAAATTCTGATGACAGATCATGTTGTGATCTTCAGTTTTCTTAACAAGCATGAATGACTCCCACGAGGCAACGTATCGTAATGAAGAGTTAGAAATCCAAATCGTTAGTCGCATGGGCGGCAGGGGAGGACTGGACTGAATTACAGAGAGATAACATCTTCAATCCACAGATTCCTTATAAGAATATTGCTCGTAAGGATTTCTGAAGAAAGAAATTATATTCTAAAAAAACATATTGCGTCAGTCGCAATGTGTTTCTCTCTCTTCGTTCCTACAGATATGAAGTCTGTGTATCACTCAAGGTTATGGGAGAAGCTATGAGCTTTGAAATCTCTTTTTTTTTTAAATATTTATATCAAAATATTATATATATTTTTAATACTTTTTAAAAATGCTTAATTACAATTTTGATATTATTAAAATATTTTTTAATTTAAAGAATTAAGATATAAAAGTATAGGTTTTATTAGGTTCCATTAGGTTATTCTTCTTTTGTAATAACATAATTTTAAGTGAAACGTTCTATGAATTATACATTTATATAATACATATTTATTTAATGTAACAATAATTTATTAAATAATAATTTAATGTTCTATCTTTTCATATTTGGCCTTTAAAAAAATATTTCACTTATAACACGTCAATGGCTCATATTTGTAAATACTTACATACCTAGCTGAACAAATATAGACTTACTGACGGGATTAGTGGTTACTATTATATTAGAGTTTTCCATTCGCCATTCGACTTCCAGTTGCCCGAGCGTGAATTTGCATTCCAAGCGACTCTCTGTCATGTATCATGCTATTTCGCGCTTGGTTCAAAGTTTATTAGTCCAAAGTTAGCCTGCTTGCACCTCGGATAACGCGGAAACAATGTCGGATTTTCGTCGATGCACGATGGTATCCACGCAAGAGTCGCACGTGGATAATAATACAATAATACAATACAATACAGACGCAACCTCCATTCGTTCGATCGCGTGCATTCAGCTTCGCTCGAGTAACGAATTAGAGGATGCAACTAATAAATATATATGTCATTGCATACATGTCGAAAATAGGTTCATTCTGAAAAAATTACTTTCCGGCCGAGAAATTTTAATATGATCGAGTGATTAGACCAGTTAAATTAATTCTATTCTCCTTAACAAATGTGATGATATTATTTTGTGACAAATATCAATCAAACAAGAGAAATATTAATAGAAGAAATATAATCACTCAGAAATTAGGTAAAAAGGAATATGACGAATATCTGAACGTTCAGCATAAAATTTATTTTTCTATTTTTATACAATACCTAAAATATAATAGATTATGTAATCTGAATCGATGAATATTTGAACAAACAAATTTTTCAATTCTTTTATATCGTGACGCTTAGAGTTACAACGAAACACTTATAAAGGGGTTCTTTGAAGTCACGTTTGCTCAACTAAAGTTGCCACGGAGGAAGCAGGAAAGCTGCGAGAATGATAACGCCGCCGAGGAATTTGCCTGCATCCTCGAACTTGTAGCAAATGTACATTGTTTCGCGTTCACTACACATTCTCGGATACTGTGTCGAATTTTCCTCCGTAGATGAAATGAACTGTCTCTCTCGTTAAGGCAAATTCAACTTGAGATCAAAATTAAACAGCAATCGAAAATAAATGCAAATAGCACAAAAATTGAATTCAAGAAATTCAAGATATTCAAGAAATTCTGTAACAATGGTATTGTATTATAATTAATTTATACAAATTTCCTCAATAAGAGAAAAGTAAAAAAATCGATTATGTAAAGAAATGACTATATTAAACATCGTCTATCGTATTTAGCGAATGTTTTACAGGCTCTCGATTAAAGACGAGATGCGGGGAAAGTCGCGCCTCGACGGATGTCTCAACGAGACATAAAATGGTTGAAGACTTAATATATTAAACGTTAGATCGTAATATTTACACTGTATACAGACTTCTCTAGAATTTGCGACTTCCTACAAGAGGAAATAGAACGGTGGATTAAAAATAAAAAGAAAGGGAGGACGAAAGGAAGGAAATTGAGGTGTTTAATAATAAATTAAAATTGCGGCCGAAGGTTTAAATCGGGGCCCTATTAGCATGTCGCGATGGAGAGAGAGAGAGAGAGAGAGAGAGAGAGAGAGAGAGAAACTAATTTTAAATCTAGCACGACGTTGTATAGGTAAACACATCGATGTGTTGCAAATATCTCGGGAGGATGCGTTCGTCGCACGGCAGGATGGATAATCGATTAAGTCGAGGTATATCCACTTATCCGCTTGCTCTCACACCCCGCAGAGCGCAAATTCCAGAATCTCAAAGAGGCGGTACACGAGGTACCTTAAGACGGGGTGGATATGGCGCTCAATTTGCACGGATCCTTGGCTAAGCCTCCAAAGTGATAACCGATCTACTAGATGCAGCCGGGGCGGATCACGAAGTTCCATAACGTGTCCCGTTACCTGTAACCTACCCTCGTATCTCGAGTAAGACACGCTCCGACGAATAATTACCGTTCACTTATCTGTAACGACGAAGCCATAACTCTCTTCCCTGTCAAAGCTTGCGCTTGTATTGCCTCGTGGTATGAAAAAAAATGTAGAAATTAAATGCGAAACTGCATCATCGAAAATAACATAGCCAATCTTGTAAACTGCGCGAATTTAATTTTCAGTCTTGAAACGCAATTCTAACAGAACAAGAATTACAAACAGAACAGAAACAAGTTATATCATAATTTAAATTGATAAGCAATTTAATAATATTGATGCTTATTAGCATTTTAAATAATCTGATGTCGAGAAATAAGGGTCTTAAGATCTACAAATAATTGTATTGTGTGTATGAAAAATATTATCTATCGTTTAAGGCATTTCCTAGTTGTTGTGACATTACGATCTCAAAAGATAAGTTATTTAATATTAATTATTAAAAAGTTTACATCAAACGCAATCGATGAAATGTATTGTTATTATTATAGATATGTAGAGCATTATTGCTGATGCTTTACTTTTTAATATTCTCTACTTCATTTATATTCTCATTTAAATTTTGTAATTAGTATAACACACACGATAATTTTCCTTCTTCCTTCACTATGCATATGATGGGTTCAAATATCTTGAGTTAATTTTCATTATTTTTTACAAAAATTATTAAATTATTCTTACATATACTTTAATATTTTATAAAATATTTATAAGCTTGTGTATTAAAAAAATTACGTATAAATATTATAACTAATTACTAGATGCTCTCCTAGTATTTAAAAAAAATGCATAGAACACGAATAATCCAATCATTAAGTTTTAAATAATGAATTATTACATTTTAATAATAATAAAAAGTTATTATTATTATTAAGTTGAAACGAAAAACATGGTCGCACATGAAATAATTTATCTAGAAAATTAAAGAAATGACACACTCGAGATAGGTATTATATATCGAAGATCGATGCTCGTATTCAGTGGACTTGACGTTGGATGAGGTGCATTCACCGTATTACATCCACGTACGAAACCGCCATGCCACCTCAAGGAAGAGGATACGCATGCATGAAACAGGGCATGCCGCCGTAACTCAATTCAATTTGAGAGCACGTCGTTGTGTAGCAAGGAGTCCCTTTTGCGATAATCTCCGCCGGAAATACTAGACGGCCGAAACTTCGCGACTAACGCGATTTTCAAGTAAATTTCACTCGCCGATGCTGCCATTAGGATGACACGCCATGGCTCTTAGTCGGAGCATCAACGGGATTCGCTTGCATGTGTACCTATCTTTCGCTAAATGTGAACATCCGAGGGAACCTAATAACCACACAATGTTATCAGCACGGTATCAATATTTCACTCAGAAATTATTTGAATCCCAATTGTGATCAATTATGATAATCGGTATGATTATTGGGCAAATCGGATCGGATAGAATAAAGTATAATTCGATAATAGCATTAAAATTGATACACATCGAATTACTATTGTTGTAAGATCGTCTCAGCTGAATATATATTATTCCTTTAGACTCGAAAAGATTAAAGTAACCCGATATGCTAAACGAATTAGTGCCACGAACGTGTATCATAAAAAATGTAACGCTATGTCACTCGATGATTCCTCTTTGAAACAAAGAAAAAAAAAGTAGAACATATGATGTTACATTGTTTAAAGAGCTTGGTAACAAATCTCGTTGGAAAACAAATAATAGATCGAAAGGAGACATCGAGGAAGAAGCGGTACATCTTAAAAGTCCCGTAGCTGAGATCCTTTTAGCAAATTACGAAGTTATCGGAAAACTCTCCCGAAGGGGGACACGCCTCGCGGCATTATATTTAATAACGTCCAATAAACGTTACTCCTGCCACTGCTTTTTCTTTCTCCATTTTCCTGCTCTCCTCTTTTTTCTCTTCTCCTTCGCTTGCCCCTTCTGTATATTCCCGTTTTACCCCACTTCCGTTTTCCACCGCCACATTTTCTCTCTTTCTCTTTTTTCCCTCCTTTCCCCCTCCTCCCTCCCCCTCCCTTCGCTCTTTCTCTCTCTTAATGTACCGCTAATGTTTTTACTTGCGTCATATTAAAACGATTGATTTCGCTCGCAATGTCCCGTCTCTTCAGAGAGAGACTGCTCTGCACACTGAAAACCAATATCGACCACTTTCAGTCTGGGCGCGAGTCGAATAAACGGCCGCCATTAACTCTAAAGTCCTGCGGCGTAATACAGAAATTTATACATCCACCCCGTTTCAAAAATAATCGCGAAGCTTGTAGCTTGTTCCGTGACGATTACGTTAACACGTTACGTAAACACAAATTTTTTCACGGCAAACGTAAATTCCTTGACCATCGTATGTAAATTGATCGTTGCAGACGATTGTATCTCGGTTCATAATTTTATTGATAATAATATTGATAATAATATTGATTTTTTAATAATTTACCAATGATATTTAAAACTAACGAGTCCAGTCTTCCATGGGAACTCTAAATATTAAACAAATTTCATGAAATTGATTCTAAATTTCAATATCTAATTGTGAACAATTATTTTAATCGCTAATTATTTTTTTCTATTTTATCTTCTATGCTTCTATATAAATAGAGATTCGGAGATAACATACTCTGCCAGTAAATTTTTATATATTAAACTTTATTTTTATTCAAATCTATTATACTTTGTTAAAATCTTATATATAAGCGATGAGTCGTAGTCAATTTTTGGCAAGGTCTTTTCCAGCTGGATCAAACCGCTTATGAGTCAAGCGTTTATTCAATATGTTAACGTCATTTTAATCATATTAAGGAAGCATGGAGCGAAATCTCGCATGCGAAAAGTTGCCGAAGAAAAACAGTCGTATGGAACAGAACGAACTGGTAAGCTACAGTGCGCCAGGATGGGACAGTGATGTGCAGCAGTATTTATAGTATGGATTGTGTCTGCTTGGCAACTCGCCATCAGATGAACGGACTGTCCCGAAAGCCCTACGCACGAACCAAGCAACGGTACGTACGAAGTGCTATTGATAACTATTGTCTCCACATTTATCTGCGAATGGCTTATTGCCTCGCAATCTTTAGATCACCGTCCACTTTGCGCGAAAGAACGACAAATGGCAGCGATGATGGAGGTCTTTTTTTCCAAACCGGAGCTATTACAGCGGCGGGGATGAATCACGGAATCGAGTCCGATTGGTACTCGTTCGCAAGCACGACCTGGCTTTTATTAGACTGGCTGACATCGAGGATCACTGCCAAACTAGGATCGCGCGAACAATAGCTTCCACGTATCGTCTCGACCGAGCGAAAATAACCACAGTTGCCTGCACATTTCCTATTGCACTCTTTTTGCATCAAAGTTGAAATAAAAAAAAAGAAAGAGAGAAACAGAAGAGCAAAAAAAAATTCCATCAATTTTAGTTTAGAAAGAAATTTGCTGTGAATAAATTTGAAAATATGTGTCTGCGCATAGTAAGTTTATACATGTAAAAATTTTAAAGCGATAAAATAGAATAAAATATGGAAAGAATGGAAGTGTTATTGAAACAATGAAATATTTTTATTGCAGAAAGCGAACTAGCTAGAATAATGTAATTTTAGGATTTCAGGATAATGATTCTGGAAATATTTATCTCGCGGTCGCGTGCCCAGAATCTATTTCCGTCGTCCGAATACCTCATCCCCCAGCTTCTAAGATTCCCAGACGACTCTGGAACATGGCGGATCAATGATCTATTCGCTTCATGCGTACAATGCATGACATGTCGACGAAATCTTTAAGTGTAATCTATTCAGAATTTATAGATGCCAAAATGAATACCCAAAATCTGAGATCCTAATAATATCTCATCGTAAAAAAGACATTTCTTTAAAAATATCAGAAATAAAATTTTCTCTAAATTATAAATTCATTCTTTTTCTCTCAATTTCATAAATTCATCTTTTTCAAACCGAGAGAAATTATTGTTACGCTGTGAAAAATCATAATATTTCGCGACAATACCAGAACGAAAAAAAGAAAATACGCTTTCTATAAATTTATAGAATGTACTTTTTCTGAAAAATGAAGCTAATAATGTTTTTTCTAAAATGTAAATGTAATAATTAAACCGTACTCTTCTACCTTCTCTCCTCGTTTATAAAAAATCTTAACCATCCACTGTTCCGACCTTTACCTATACCAAGTGCCATCACCATTGTTACCGTTTTAGCTTTTTTCATCGATTACCGTTACCCCAAAGAGGATATTCCGTGAAGCTTAACACCGACTCGAGAACCGTCCTTGTCTCGCATATCCCCCTCGTATTCCATAGGATTAGACCTGGCTTTAATGTCCGACGACAAGGGATTTCGATGGTAATTGAATACGGACACGCTGGCACAGAACGCGGTTAAGAGTTCGAAGTGTTTGCTATCGCTATTCGCGCTGTTTTACTCAACATATTCATCGAAGAGTAGTTGATTTAATTGATAAAATTAGATCCTGAAGTCCAGATGGACTTCAAGCACCCCTTTAATTATGTAAGATAACGATAAAGTGCCTTTAGTGCACGAATTAGCGCATGCATGTTAATTCTTTTTGAGTGACCCGACGAACGGAACCGGAAGCAATGCCCCCTTTTTGTGCTAGCTGGTCCGTACTTACTGCGCTTAGACTCTCGTCCATCGATTCGGCGGGATTCGGTTTTGATCTATCACGTGGAAAGAACCGATCGCCCTCAACCGAGTATTCACTGTCAAGCCCCCGTAGCCGGGTGGATGAAGATCATTCGCTTGTGGTTCGTACTCGTCCGTAAAAAAATCGAACGGCCATCATTTCGGGATGCATGTATGAAGTTTGCAGCGCAAACAGTAACGCCACGATATTTTGGCGACATATCGAGATCACCTGCAACGATTAGCGGATTTTCGGTATTCTCTCGATATTTCGGGATATATACGTACAATTTGCCAGGAATATCTAATATTATCGCTCTATAAAGATAGTTCGAAAATTTCTCGGCTTGACACAGAAATGACGCCACAAATATCAAACTGCTATAATTTTAAACAAATTTGATTGCGCAAAGCTACTATTAAAATTTCAGACAGATCCAGTTAGTGTCTGTTTCTATCGTATAAAACAAACAACTTTTTATTCCATCATGACAATGCACCCGCTCACGTTTTTTCAAATTGTCGCAAAATTGCAAGAATCGTCCTTTGAATTCACACGCACTGTTGTATTCAACACAGATTTATGATTTATCCCTCAGTAACTTTTTCCTCTTTCTAATGAAGAAATGGCTCACAGAAAAAAATTTGGCTCAAATATTGAAGTAATTGGTGAAATTAATATTTACTTTCTTAGAGAAATCGTATTATACAAACGACATAAAAAATTAGAATATCATAAACATATTGAGTTAAAAAGGGATTAATTCGGAAATTTGGGAAATTTGCCAAATTAAGTGTTGTCTTTTATCATACACAGAACTTTCCAAACTACATTTGTAACAGGATACCAAACAACCTACTTGTAGCAGCAGATAAATGTAAGAAATTGCAACAAGCGCGAATAGTAGTAATCATAAATTACGGATAAGTTAAAGTAACCGCATAATCTATATAATACATATAAAAGGAATGGTTTTGTTGAAATATCTAAACATTTAGCTAGAAAGCTATCTGAAAGAGAGAAATCTGATCTAGAAATTTGAAAATAATTTTGTTGGATCATCAAAAATTTATGTAGAATACGAGAATATTGATGACAATGCAGTATAAAAAAAAACTTTAACATTTTAGAAATTAATTTGAGCGTTCCACATAATATTATTTTGATAAAATCTAAACAAAATTATTTTCAAATTTGCACTAAGAAAAAAGTTACAGTAATGAAAACGCCAAACATAATTTCATTCTGTAGAAAGTGAGAGATATATGACGCCATTCTTATATGTAACACTGTTTTATTTCGGTAACAAATTTTTTATTTTTAATTACAAAAGATCTCTGACCATCATAAAAAAAAGTTTAATTATTAGTTTATTTAGTAAATTCAATAAATTAATATTGGCGTGATAATCAACAGTTTAATTGGTCATACATCAATAAATAATTTTTGCGTCAATATCAACAAAACTTCAAACATTTCTCTTAGTATGTACATAGTTAAATTTTTTAGATATTTCAACAAAATCGTTTTTTTTTCCATGCAGCCCTACAGGCTGATACATCCGCAGCATTTGTTACACTCTCAGCTTTAACATCGTGCTGCAAAATCCGCTGGAGCGATTCCCAGAGATGATCGGTGCATTCTGCAGAAAGCGAGAGATATTTAACGTGGGCGAAAGATAGGTCAGACCGTAAAAAGCCGCGATGCGCGCGGTTTATGCATGCATGTGGGGACATACATACGCGATTCACAAGGCGAGTCACTCTTCTTTCTCTCTCTTTCTCTCTTCCTCTGACATGGACTGCTTCAAAAGGAGCAGCCAGGTGAAGTGTATCCCGCGTACTCGGCATGGCGGAGGCCACCTTCGTGCACGCACGAGTAGTTCAGGTGGCATCGATGGCGTTCGCAAAGCAGTTATTTTTAGTTCAATTTAAACGCTCGAGCGGCACCATAAAGCGAGTATACGCTACGTATACGATATAATATAACTAACGGGCACGATGGAGGAGAGAGAATGGGGAACAGGGTCTACAGAGGGAGAGGTTTTCGCGCGAGCTCGCGGACAAATGTCGTCGCCGAGATCGTTAAAAGCGTCGTTATTGCACGGTGGAAACTTCCGCGCCTCGTCACGGCGAGAGGATATTTTTCTCAATGCCCATGGATTACTTCATAATTCCATGAAACGTAAATTCCTCGTCATCATATCGGGCATAAAGATGGTCGTTTATTGCCCCCACTGTGATCCTCCTACTCCTATCCTTCCCCCTGAGGACTAAACGTCGCGCAGATTAACTCTTAACTGCTGACGTTGATAAACTCCCTCGGTCGTGTAACGTGTTAAAAGTTGGAAAAGCTGTTTCGTGCGAACGTTCTTTCGAGGAAAGAGAAAAATTCTATCGAAATACTTTATGAAGTTCTATATTCGGTGGAATATCACCGTTACTGCTTCAAGTCGCGTTTATCGGTCGAATCGCGAATATTTCAATAGAATGGATCTAGTCACATTTCGACATGCATCTTTGAATTTCGATGATTTGTTTAAAAATAAAATTAACAATAATTTTAATAAGAGATAGTTAAAGAAATAGTTAAAGAAATTAATAAAATAAAATAAATTATTTAATAACATTAATAATAATTATTGAATTTATTTATTAATATTTAGCGAAGCACAAAATGAGATTTTCCTCAACTGGATTCATAAACCATGTTGTGTGCTTATGCCTCTTCTAAGAAACTCGTAGTGATAGTAATTACGTAAAATTAAAAACAGCTGGAGTACTTCGGTTATAAAACGAGTATTATACTATGAATCCGTTTAGTATTCTTTTTCAGATTGAAATCTCACTCAAAACGAATGAAAATTCTCTTCAATTGATAGTAAAAATACTGCTGTTCGAAATGGAATGACATTTCACTTTTCAAGGCTGAATTTATTAATCATATGTAAACGTTTCATTCGTTTGAAGTGAAACATCAATCAAGTTGACTTCAAAATGAGATCAAAAGTTTTAACATAAAAAAATTTAAACTCAATATATATGAATATTTAATTTCAATCATGTTTCATTTGTTTAGAATAAAACATAATAGCTTATGTGAGTGAGTTTTAATCTAAAAAAATATTTAGACTCAGTGTAAGTAGATTCTTTTATTGACATTTTATTTCTGGAAAAAGTGCTGCCGATATTTATTTACATATAATATCGACAAAACGCAGTGTCGATACGACGAGACGAGTACATCAGTATCACGACCAGGTGAAGCAATTTCAAGGAAGCGCAAATGTTCAAAGTAAATAACGACGACATTTGTGACCAATCAAATTGGCTTCAAATTTTATTAGCCGATCAAAGTCGCTATTAAAAATTTGGCACTAATTTGCAGAAACTTGCGCCAAATTATATTCAGCTTATTATGTATAATGTTACATACCTAAGGTCTGATTTTTATATCTGCATTATAGAATTGCACTTTCTTTCCCATTTTCGCCAAATATCAAACATATATATATATATATATCTATTTCATTTTAAGTTCCAAAAGTGCAGTACGAGTTCAGCTACAGAAAACAGACCCCTTATGTTCTTATATCATAATCAGTATGACTCACTTACCAAACTTCTTGCGTAACGCATGCAGTTTCCAATAGTAGAGTATTAGATTCATTCATTAATGATGAAGGAAAATATTCATAACACAGAATGAAAGAATTCACTCCATATGAATAAAAAGTCGTTTCAACTTCAACGTAATCATTCATTTTCAAGTGGAATTTCACTGCAAGAAATTTAGAGAACAGAATTGTTAGTATATTTGTCAAATCTACATTCTGTAGTAACAATAATAAATAAAAATACATGCTAATAAAACAAGAGATTAAAATCTGCTTAATTATTTCGTAGTTACACTGAAAAAAAATATTAAATTTTAGTAAATATTTGTTTGAATAGTTCTAAGTAAATACAAAATGTCATATATTTATTTGATACAAAACCATTAATTGGATTTAATTAGCATTTTTTAAGTAAATATTTATTTAGTATTTATTTAATGTAAGTAAATGTTTACTTATGTATATTACTCAAATAAATGTATTTAGTAAATCTTTTTCAATGTAAAAAAATTTTATTTGAGTATTACTTTATTCTCTATTTATTATTTTTACGACGGATTAGATTTTATTCAAGTGCAATTAGAAAACCTGCGTTATTTTCCCGACGAAAATATTATTTCTTCGTCAGCGTTTTTAACACGCGCGCGTAGTTCGGTCAGATGCGGACGCTTCACGTTACGCGCGGCACAAATCAAAATCAATAAGCCGATTATTGGCCGCGCCGAGCGGAGATTACGCCGCTTTGAATTGACACTTCGACGAGGCGAAGTGGGCCTTGGATGCCGCGATTCAATCCCGCGAGTTCTGTCGACAGGCGGACATCCGTCCCAGTTCCTTTTTCCACGCGCGGTGAAGAGTCAGCCGCGAACAAACGAAGCAAAATGGCGCTCGATGCGAAGCGCCGACATCTCGCTATTCGCGCGTTACAACCGCGCGCGGCTCCTCGTTCTCGCGAACAAACGCCCATGCGACGCGCATTCATCCAGCTGTGAAAGATGCGAACAGCTTGTTTTCCGCGTAATTTCATTCCACGCGGCCGCGAATATTTTCCAACGCGGTATTTTCCGTACGCGGAAGAGAATTTATCAATAGCGCCTCTCGCGAGCGTCGCGGTGCCGCCGCCGCGCGGCGCCATCGTACGAGATGTTATGACAAAACGAACCATTGCAATAACGAACCGAGATGATTACTCAAAAAAGAAGAAAAAAGAGAACGTTATTCGCTTGAACGTTATTCGAAATGTAATGCGCTCGAAATAATAACGACTGTGATTTGTAAAGGTATAATTACGAAGAAATATAAATTCTTTTATTTCGCACATCGTGCTGGATAACATTTAGTAGATATATATAGAAAATAATTGAGAAAAATATATTTCTTTAATCTTTATTTAAATATCATTGTAAATGGTATTTCAAGTTTGTCGACATTTAAATTTCACTGTATGTATGTACAAAAACACACGACGGACAAAAGAACATGATATTTGGTGCAACAGAGCGAGGAAAAACGTCAAATAGGTTTTTCTAATCAAATTGCAATCGCTAACATTTCTAGCTGTCAAAATTTTTAGTTAACAGTATAAAGATTCTCGTAAATTCCTCGAAACTAATTCCTCGAACCGAATATTATTTCGGTTGCGAAAATTCTTCACAGAAAATTTAATAATAAATTCGTTAAAAGATTTATTTAAAATTTTCAAGAGATCAAAAATAAAAGGTAATGTAATATGGATACGACAAAAATTCCAGTGCTTAAAACGGAAATGGCTTCATTTTTTTACAGTTTCCTGTGAAAACATATTAGATAACGAGATATGGCAATTTAATTTTTGTATACACTTAAAATTTATATTTTGAACTATTTTATTTATATTTTAAATTAAAAAATATATTGTCTCATGTTAAAATATACGAGCATATTTCGCCATTTCCATTTTCTACTATTAGTTTAACAAAATGGGACAAACTGTGGGCAAAATGCCTGAAACGTGGGAAGGTCTCCTGGAAGAGAAAGATCGTGTTTTACATTGGAGTTCCGAAGTATTGGCGAGAGTGCAAGATAATGTTAGGAACGAGGATACGTTCTTGTTAGATTATGACGACAACAAAGTTAACGCCAAGATCGACACGTGGATTAAAACTAATCGAACGCAGGTTGACGAGACATTTAATAAATTTCCAAACGCGTCAGATGAGTTAAAAAATGTAGTTAACACTGGAATAGAAAAGGTGATTAATGCATTTTCTCTTTATAAGATGTATACGTCTATTAGTGTTAAAATCTTTCTCGCAAAGTAAAAGAATTTGTTGGACGTATATCGTGAAGTTAAATCGTTTCCCATGTTTAGCTTACTGAAGAAATACGAACGAAAACGAGAAAAGATTATCAGAATGCATACAGTGACATGAAGAAGTTCAGTAAGAAAGTGGATCAATTAGGTTCAGATGAACGAAAAATTCATGCCGAAATACAAAATCTGGAAGTAGAATATGCGGGCGACGTTCAAAAATTCCAAAAGAAATTTGGACCATTGCGATTAAAAGTTTTTGACAATTTGAGAACCGGCGAGAAAATGATATTCCAAGATAAAAGACTAAAAACCGATTTTACGAAAAAAGTAAAGTTTCTCTTATACGTTCATAAAACTGCGATTTATATTCTAATAATTTAATTGCACTTGCTCAGGTTTACGATATTGATCACAAAAATTCTGCTGAGTGCATAAAAAAGATCAATAAATTGCTTAAAGATTTCGAAAAAAATGCAGCAAAAGAAAATAAATAAAATGGCGCGGATGAAAATGTCTCATCAACTCAGTATACATAATCGATAAAACCGTTTATTAAAAATTTATTTAAAAATATAACGAATTTTCTTTTTGAAATATTGTTTTGCAACATTCAATTTTACTCGAAATAATTACAAGAGAAAAAGAAAATATATAGTCACGTATTATAAACTTACATTAATCAAATAATAATAAGTATAGAAAGATTGACGTATTCTTGAATGATTTTGGTTGATTTCCTGTTCTGTATATAACCGGTTGCTCCTATCTCGAATGAGAAAGAGGATAAGGAATTCCTGGATAATCTTCCCATCGTAATTGGTAGTGTGAATGATGGGAAAAGAGAAGAAAAGAAAAGAATTGAAAAACCATCCTTGCCTGATGAACGTCTAGAACGAAAGAGAAGAATCTGAGTTGTACAGAGTGTTCCGATATTATTGGATGCTTTTTTTTTACTAAGCTTTAATTCACTTGGAGTCAATTTGTCCTCAGCAAAAACGTATAGCCTTCGAGTAATTATAAATAATAATATAATTTATAAATATAAATATAATTTTCATTTTATAAATAATAATTAAATTTTTATAATTACAAATAATTATTTTAAAAGGATCTCTAAGCTTTAGATAAGCTTAGATAAGCTTAGATAAGAAATGAAAGTCATAAAATTGTCAATAAATTTTATGCGAATTTGATAGAAAATTAATAGGAAGCTTAGTTGTATAAATATATATTATATATAGTATTAAAAATGATATACTAAATAGTAGTTTCGATATACTAAATAGTAATTTTGACGTATTGAAAAAAATATCTAGAAAAATTAACAAGAGCTTCTGGTTCCAAGACACTCTGTATAATCTAAAAATTACTCCCTGCTTCCCGGGTTGCGTCACAGATTCGAATTCTCTCAGGATACGATCAATGGATTCGCCGTCATAGAATGACGCTAGTAACCTTAACGATTCCATCGAGACTCGCTATATAGATCATTTGCAATGCGTATCCTTGAGTCTCTCCAATCGCGATCCTAGAATGCCACACTCCAGATGACGTGCAGCAACGGGAGAGAGAGGTATGAATATAAGACTACCTCGTATTCTGTATCGCTTGGTTGGGATAGGCTCTCTTGGAGGCTCTCGTGATCAGGAGAGCATGAGTGAGCAAGTAGTTCGCAGTTCTGTGATGCTACGATACGATCCAGGAGCGTATTACTTCAAGCGATTTTTATAAGCATCATGGACACAATTTAATTATAAGGCTTTATAAGTACGATTTTCTATATAAATATCCATAAAATTGTAAAATATTTATATAAATAATATATGTTATAATACTTTTAAGATATAATCTAAAAGCTAATCAAATTTTGCAATAAAAGCTCCAAATAGTTGATTCGATATTGAATTAATGGGTATAATCATTCTTATTTTAAAACCATCTTAAATAATGTCTTAAGATGCTAATATGGATAGATCCTCTGATTGGTTGTAAAATGATTTGTCTTAAAATTGCACTTAAGATAACCTTAAATACAATAAAAAAAATCGACTATAAATACCAACGTCCAATGTCGACGTCAGTTTTTTAATGATACAAATCAGCTATGTCGGTATTACAGGAATATCAATTTTCTTCGACTCAACCAGTTATCAACCATATTGAATCGACATTAAATCAACCTTGAATCAACATTACATTTCTGACTAGACTTCTGACGTCAACAAAGTTAATACCAAAATAGTTGAACCACTTTTCGGTCTGTGGAAAATTATTCCTGTTTGAATCAAAAATATCACTTATCTAATTATATTATCGAAAGATTGCAAAATCATGTCAATTAACAAAATCTATTTGCTCTAATAAGATTTTCTAAAATTTGATGCTCTTAACGTAGCACATATTGGAGTAATGAAATTTGTACTATTTGTAGTGCGCTCAAATTATGCGTACAGTTAATGAAATTTTCAGACATAATAACTTTTAGCCGAATATGGATGAGACCAATTTATTTTAACGAGATTTTCAAAATTTTATACTTTCCATAAATAGCTCGTATTACAGCAACAAAACTCACAGATTCTGTTCAAATTATATATACCTTGATGCACTATGCAATTCTGACCCTGTTTGAAAACTGTAATATAATACACTGATAACTAGATTTGTATATCAAATGCTTTATATATATATATATATATATATGCATTATACATATCTGTTCATAAAAGTGACAATAATTACAGAACAAAATAGAATAAAAAAATCACATAAATTAAATTTCAAAAATTGAGTCAAAATAATGCAATGTTTAGAATGAGATATTTTAGTTGTTAAAGTTATCTGTAATTTAAAAGTCACGGAACTATTATGATTGTCGGAATATCAATTAATAAAAATATGTGTAAAAGACTAATAACTCTTCTGAAAATACTAATCATCTAATTAGATGCTACAAGCTGAGCGAGATTGGAGTATGTATTTAATATTCATTTGATGACATAAATGCAAAGTTGTATCAATTACAAGTATTCGAGATGAGAACAATTTAGATATTCAGTGTGAAAATGTGTGTTTATTATTGTTTGTACTCACATAAAAATTTATACAATAAAGCATATTTCACTATCACTATTTCATTACCACTTAAATTAAAATGCTAAAAATTTAAATTAAACATTTTTCTTAATCTGTTTTTTTAACACTAGGTAATTTTTTAAGAGTTTAAATTTTTACAATTTTTGACTTGCTGTTTGTAGAATATTAATAATTAAAAAATTTTTTTATGTCAATAATTATATAATAATGACAATAATTATCATTACTCAATAAAATCATTAGCAAGCTTACCAATCATCGATAATTGTTGAAAAAATTTTTATTTTAATTATAAATTTTCTTAACAATTGACAAAGTATCATAAAAATTGATAATTAAAAGTTTAAATGTCATGATTGCAAAAGTTTTTTTTAATTTTACAATTATAAATTTTTAATTTACTTTTACATAATTTTTAAGAATTCAAATCGCATAAGTTCGAAGTCAAAAACCGATAAAGAATAAAAAAATTATGTATCAAAGTCGTAAATTTATCTAAGCCTACTAATTTGATTATACAGTCTAAAATAGTCTGTATCTTTCAAAAACACACTAAAAATGCAAAATTCGCGACAATCTCTTTTAGAAAAGATAGAGATAAAGAAAAATATGTTATTTGAAAATTTATGAGATGTGAAACAAAATTCTCTCCATAAAATACCAATTGAATCGGTATTCCAAAGATATCATGATAAAATATTATGCAATGTCCCATTTCGCTTCGTAATTGCAGTATGCATAGAAAAAGCAGTTATATGAACAATGATTTCCGATATTTTCCGAACATAATGTCCAATGGAATTTCAAATAAAATTTCCAATAAATTCCATTACATGTGTGGTTTCAACGATCTGACCTTATTACTTGTGTCACTCGATTATCCGAGAAAAAAATTAATGTAATTTGTTTTACAATTACGTAAAGCATATTTGCAAATATCAAGAAATATAGTGGTATCTCATACTAAATGAATATATAAGAATATGTCACGATTTTAATGTTAAAAACGCGACTCGTTTACACGACCTTCAATAGCCGTGATCGTCTAGTGGTTAGGACCCTACGTTGTGGCCGTAGTAACCCAGGTTCGAATCCTGGTCACGGCAATGCGTGAAAGCATTGTCACGGTGGAGGTTTTTTTTTCTTCATTTTATATTAAATATTAATTAAAAAATAATTTAGAAGCACCGTCACAATGAAATTCTTTACCTTTATCTTTTTAAATAAATTATTAATTACACAAAATTTTATACGAATTCAATATCACTAGATTTACTATCGCTAAAAATATTCTGTAAATAATTAATTAAACCTTCTAAGTCGTTTATCAATTATTAATTTGGACAAAAATTCTATGGATTATCTTTGGTTTATATATTGTATAATTTCTATTCCTTGTAATTTGCATTAAATATTACATAATTTAAAAGCATCATCATAATAAAATGTTTTCTTTCGTCTTTTTAAATAAATTATTAACTATGTAAAATTGTGTGAAATTATTGTTTGTGAAAAAATTGCTCTAAAAACATTTTTTAATTACTTATATATATTTTTATAAGTCATAATTATTATAATTTATATAAAATTCTATGAATTGTATGTATGTTATATAGTTTCATTCTTCGTACAAATGATAAATATTTATAAAATCACAATGAAATCACTTTGACGTGCAGCAAAATCGAATGCATTATTGCAATCATTCTCCGAATACCTTTGCCGAAAATACTAACAGATTGTGATATTTGATACAGTCGTTGGTGTGACGTTAAGCAACTGAATGCACCCAATAAATTAAAATGCAAAATTGCATTATTAAAGATGTCAGAAAAGCAATTTGAGGAATGATCATCACTCGTGAATTGTGCAAACGTAAACTATTATAAATTAAAGTACAATTGCTATTATAGCAGTGTAGTGCGGGATCGCGTACGATTTGTATCCGACTTAAAATTTTTAATTGGACGTTATTCATCGGTCAATATGATTCGATATCGATTTTTGTTATTTATTCATATTTTATGCTGTGCTGGTATGTATAAAAGCTTTTTCAATAAATAGTATTCAATTACATTTTAATAATAATTAATTTTAACATTTTTTTTTTGAATATACTGATTTAATTTGAATATACTGACAATTATTTTGATAATGCAAAAAATTGATAACATGAGCAAAACATAGATTATTTTACATAAAATTAATTATTTAGATAGATAAACATGAAATTTTCATTTTATTTTTTTATATATAGTCCAAAGAATAGTCCTTTTTCATATCAAAGATCTCCTCAGAATGAAAGAAAAAAATATTGTTGGAAGTAATTTCAAATTTGCAGTGTGTAATTTAAATTCTCTCTCTTACGTATTCTAATAGATTTGCAAATACATCTGTTATTAATAATTTATGTATCACTAGTAATCAATATAAACATTCATGATAATCAGAAACACGTGCTTGCAGCAATTCATGGCATTTTATTAGACGCAAACGATGCCGAAACTTGCAATTTATTATGCATAAAATGTAACGCTTCTGCAATATTTGCAAACGGTAACTGTGAATGCAATTTTGTTGACGACAGTAACAAAGGTATTACATTTACAAATTTATCTTCTGTGTGTAAATAAATTGCTAAAAAGTTGTCTAAAAAGTAATATCGCATATTTCACGTTATAACTCAACAATGTAGAATGCATACAGCATATACAAAAAGAAATTCAAGCTGTCGAACTGAATATGCTTTCTGATGATCTGACAGACGAGGAGCGAAAAATACGTTCTATTTTAAAATACAGACGTCGTCTCAGACCAGGTAAAGTAAAATTATATATTTGTATAACACATTTTAATTTTCTACAGACTTAAATATTTCAAAAATATCTTCAAATAAACATTCCTCCAAAAAAAGTGCTTCATTTCGTATTTCTACTTCAAAAACTCCATTGTCATGAACATTCAAAAATTTTTCTTGTCAAAATAGTTTCACACAGTTTTACAGTTAATTATTGGCATAAAGGTAATTTTATTTATAAAGGATACTGATTAGTATCCAAATCCGAGGATTCTGAATCTCCAAAGGACATTTTTAAAATACCTAAGAAACGCTATATGAACTAAAGTATCTTTTAGGCGTCTAATGTCGAGGTACCTAAAATAAAAGACTGTCGAATTGCCTTATAGGAGATGCCGAGAAAGTGGCACAGTATTTTATCAATGGAGGACCAGAAGCTGGTCACTCTCATTTTGTCAGGGTGTTCAATGCAACTCGCGTTAGCGCCGATTCAACAAATTCATTTTCGGGCGTAGTTGACAAAAAAAGTAATTTTTAAGATTTCACGGTGTATCGTTAATCAGTCTTATTTCTTGGAATACATACAACTCTCTGTTGTACATGGTATCAGAATCGTACGTGAGTCCGACTATGCAGGGGGTAGATCTTTCGACCTTAGGGAAACCACCCTTTATCTATCCAACCGGATTGTATGATCCAACAACTGTTCCGTTGAGCACAATTTCTCATCCACATGGACTACCTCACGCTTTATTTAGAGCGGTCACATTTCCCGCACACATTTTGCACCGTATACTACACCCTCGTGTGTACCATCATTATCCTCTGCATCATCGCGGTATCATCAGAAGTACTAATGTAAGTAGCGTTTAATTATATAATTTGCAATCAGTTTAATGAAAAGCATAATGAATATGTTTTATTTAATCTGAATAAACATTTCATATAAACGTCCATATGTCTCACAGGTCTTTCAGATAAAGTTATAGAAGTCTAATGCATAGTCTACAATGGGCAGTAGCAGTAGTGAATTAAGGAGTAGCCGTAGAAATCGACGTTGTGAGAAAAATAATAAATTATGATTGGTCGATTACGCCTACTCCTTAATCAATTACTATTACTGTCCATTGTAGACTATGCATAAAAAATGAATTCGATGCTCTTAATAGATAATATATAATAGCAAAAATTAAAACAAAAAATATATCAATACTACAATTAAATCTTTTTCTATTAATTCCCACAGGATAAATCAGATACAGATCAGACCGTTGATCAATGTGAAAATAATGATGGTTCCAATACTTCCAATTTTCCTACTGCCAGAAGTAACGCAGTAAGTTTCAGTAATAATAATATAATATTTAATTCGTAAATTTTATTTAATACCAAATTCTTACATAAATTTGTAAGTAATGAAGTAATGAGAAATTGTGTCGTTAAAATTAAGAAAAAATTGCAATATTCTGTACATTAATAAATAAGAGTTATGACAATGCAAGTTATGACATTCTATACAGTGATATAAACAATTATTTGATTGCTGAAATCGTTAAATGCAATTATATAGCTAACTAAGCATTAAATTGACTTTTGTGATAAAAAAAAATTATAAATCAAAATCTATTTCTTGCAGGATAAACATGCTGAACAAAATGTTCTTGGATTGAATGATCCATTACAGTATCCAGTAGCATACCTCGCAGACGCATTGTACCAACCAATGCAATATCAGAATTATCCATATCCATACAATTCTTATTATAATCCTTTGATAAATACATTCCATTCCATACCTAATGGATATCTTCTTCAATCAATGTCACTATATCCGCAAGATAAATTATCGGATCCATGGACTTCTGCGTCCAATCCACAATCTTTTTGCAACAATAATGTAAATACTGAACAGGAAAATGAAGTTTTATCTGCTGACAAAACTAAATATTCGAATGGAATAGAAAAATCTGATGATCCAATTAAAAACAACTTTCCTAACGAAGAAAACAAAACAGTGAAAAATGGAAATGATAAATCATAAATAGGATAAATTAAATACATTGTATACATCTAATCTGTTCAAAATATAAATTTAAATTTCTTATTATTGTCATATTTGTACTACAGCAAACAAATAGTAATGTAATTATTAAATTTTCTTCTTAATAAAAGAAATTTTTAACATTAATTTATTCATTACCTTATTTCAATTATTCTATTCTAGACTGAATATATATATCTACATGTAACATAACTCTATATCTTATATTGCTTTTACTTTCAACTCAAATTTAAAAGTCCTTAATAGAACTTAGTGAAAGTGACTATCTTTATTCATATTTTGAAGTAGAAATATAAAAAGTATTGTAGTAATCTAAATAATAATAGTAATCTAAATAATAACTATATAAACATAACATAATTTTAAGTTGATCCTGGAACTCTCATCGCACATATATCCCTCGGTTTTGAAAAAGTATAATCAAAAAATTTTTTAGAGATTATGAATAAAAAAGTTCACAAAGTAATTGTGAAAATCATTTCGAAAATCCATACTTAATTTATAGCATTATTTTAATTTTTGTCTTATATATGATGTAATAAAGCATAGAATTTAAGAATGAGCATATATATTCAAACGTTTTGTATAATATAAAATATATAAATATAAATAAAAATTCACTTTTAACAGTTCCATCTCCTCTTCTTTATCTCCTTCCTTTGCCTTTCCCTTTTTTTGAAGTCGACGTAGATGGCTGCGATGCTTGCTCACTAGAGCTCTGCTTACCCTGACGAGTCTTCAGCTTTGAAATTGAGGTACCGACGTACTCCAGCAGGGAATCTCTAGTGGGAAACTCGGATTTTACCGGTGTTCCATCGTCGTTTTTCAGCTGCACGCGAATACGACCACGGAACAGAGGTTCCTTGCTACGTTCTTTCGGATGCAGCTTATTCTCGACGCCTACATTGAGACCCGCTGCCAACAAGACATCCCGTATTTCCTGATGCGTTGGATTTTCTACACACTTATCCTTGGCCAGCTTTCGTCCATTTGCCAAGCTTCTCTTGTTGTTTAAATATATTGGATAGATACATATCCATCTATAAAAAAAAACAACTTGTCAAATAATGATGAATTTAAACTTGTTATTGTAATATTATAATAAGCCCTGCGTACAATGGAGGAAATATTGGAAACAAGAATAAATATTGAGAGTTCAATCAAAAACCATGTATTCCGATGTAACTGGTATCTGACAGATTAAAATCTTAATATCTATTCCTGTTCCTAATATTAAATAAAATATCCTAAAAATTTAAATAAAATATGTTAAATATTTGCTTTAAAAATAAAGTACTTATTTTAAGTACTTTTTCCAAGATAACACTTGTGGATTCTTTGATCTATACGTTTAACCTATAAATTCAACTTTGACATCAGATATCATAAATTTATTCGAATTTATTTTGGAATATTCGACGAATAAAAGGAATTGAAGTACCTTCAGTCTAGACGTATGTATGTATTTTGTATTCAATAAACTTTTATAGGTTAGATAATACATAGATCGTAATTGATCGTAATGCTATTTTTACGGAGCTCAAGAAACATTATTTTAATTAATATTTAATAGGAATACATTAATATGAAAGTTATTTCTCCATTATTGATTTATTGTTACCACTTTACCTTTCATGTTCACTGTTTTTCTTCGAAGGATTCCAGGCAAGCGACATGTTATTGCTACCATACGGCTTCCATGTATTGTATCACTACTATATTACACTCTCTTTTCAAATTTCCGGATTTATCTTCACTAAATATTGCTTGAAATACAAACAATTTGTAATTTTTCTATACAAAATAAATAAAGTACAGCATCTAGATGATTATCATTCGATAAAATAAAACTAAAAGTTCTAAAAAGAAATCAAGAAATATAAACTGCAGACAATTAACTTACGCACTTAAAGTGCAGCTAAACAAAAAGGTGAAATGGGTAAAATATTTATAATTTATACAAGAGTTTATTAAATTTATTACAAGAGTTTTGTATACGTGTATCGCAAAAATATCATCAGCATTTAAATGAAAAAGTAAGATATATCGTTAACAAAGCAAAAAATATAAACCACGGGCTCGTCCGGGATTTGAACCCGGGACCTCTCGCACCCGAAGCGAGAATCATACCCCTAGACCAACGAGCCATATGATCATTACGTTCACAAAGTATCCTGAACTGGCTCCATTTGTTTATATAATATGAATAATTCATCATTTTACGTATATTAACAATATTTCATCAAACTGTAGATAATTAATAATATTTCATCAGTAAGTTACATACGATTGTGAAAAAAATAGGAAATCAAAATACGCTACTTAAAAAACTTATATTTAATAAATATTGAAACCTGGTTAAAACTGGATTACAGCCAATATATTATATTTAACAAAATATTGGGTTTATGCTAAAGACATACGTGAAAGTTGATAACAATTTCATTCATACATTTATTAATTGTCCTAAATAAATTAAACACACAAATTACATAAGTACAGTATACCTAATAAACTTTTAAGACAAATCTAAAATGTGTGTATATGTGTGTTTGGATCGTATTTATAACATACAATACATATAACAATAAACAATATACTTGTCTACAAATTTAATATATAAAATTTAATACATAAATTACAATTTAATATATAAATTTTCCGATGTCTTGAACTAGATTACAAAATACGGATTAAAATAAGCATATAAATAATTAAAATAATAAACATTATATCTTAATTTATAAACATATATGTATAAATTTTGTGGAAATACTATACGATAATAACTTGGGCAAGATTTTTTTTTTCATTAGCATTTCTTGATGTGTAACTAGAGTGACAATTTAATTTCGTTCTTTCAATCAGTGACACGCAAAAATTTTGTGTTAAATCTTGAACTGTAATTGTTATATATCCTCAATTCTTTGAAACATTCATTTCAAACAACTTCATTAAACCGTCAAAAAATGTATATGAAGATTTATTTCTTCCTACACACATCTTTAATTTACTAAAAGAATTCCTAACTACTTATTATATTTAAGCACTTCCTTTAATTATAAACCTTAATCCTTTCCCTACTGTTAATAACCTAGAGCAACATTTTCTTTGGCAATATTCTCTTTTTCAAATATGAATATATTTTATTTATATATTTATATCCTCGCTAACTATTTTAGTAATCAAAATACCGATTACAAAAATTGTACCATCATGTAAAGTATTGGTATTTTATCCAAATTCGTAATCATGAGGCACGTGGTATTTCTCTATTTATTATCTTTAAATAATACTTGATAAATAAAATGGCATTTTCCATAACTATACACACAGTAGTCATCATTAAGTTAGTACGCTCTATTAGCACAAAGATATCAAGTTATTGCATCGACCTTTTTAAAATTTAGATCAAGAAATGATGTGATTAGACAAATATTAGGTTGTCCGGCAAGTTAAAAATCATTCTTTTTTAAACTTCAGATTTTAATTTTCATTTTAATATTCATGCTCCCATAATTTATTATATTAATAAATTATTGATATTGACAGAAATTTGATTCAAATAATTTCATCAAATATTCTGAATTAAAACGAATATAAATCTTGAGTATAAAAAGACGATTATTTTCTAAATAACTTAATAGTTTCATAAAATTAAGTTGACAACTATGCTACATAGTGGTTATGCACAATATATAAATATGCACGTAAACATCTATAACAAGGAATATAATGAAGAAAATAAAAAATATACAAAAATATGTTCTAATCCAGTAAGGAGAGGATTACAGCGTAAATTTCTAGAATCACAGTAGATGTATTAAATACTTTTCTATCAATTCGTAGGTAAAGTGATAAATTTTAGATGTCATATGCCAAAGTTAAATTTACATGATTATGAAAAACTACCACAGAAATAGGAAGAACACAGTATATTAACGTGGTGATAGGCACACCAGTAATTGGCAAAATGCTCTTAAAGTCTTCCATTTCTGGCCTAATAATATTGTGATTTGTTGTTATCCGTTGGTGACTCACATCTCCACGTGAATCTTTGATCGGGTATCTTAATAGCTTACAATGTATCATACATTACTATACTAGGCGCACACTATAATCACGTTTAAAAACGTTTAGAACAACACTCTAGTGCAATGAGAAATACGATGAAAGGACAACAATTAACATATGTAAAAACAAAGGCCAGAGCAAATGTTACCAGTTGAGGCCAAATCTTTCTCACTTGCATGTACCATCGTATGTTATATTGAATTTTATTCGAAAACGAATCTTGGTGTTAGGTTACCAGCCCATTGCAGAAGGAACACGAGAACCTACCGTGAAATCTTTATATTGAGAAAAGACACATATCTGAAAAAGTTTATCATATTAGAAAGTTCATTATGATAAATTAAAATTTTTTTCAATTAAACTATCATATAATAAACCTTGTCTTTTAATCGTTGACAAAGTTGTAGGGCAATAGTAAGCAATACTAGAGCGTCATTCAGCCATGGTACACTGCATTCTGCTTGCTGGGTTTCGTACTTAACACTGCCGTGAGCATTTTCTAACTGATAAACAGCTAAAACTAATTTATAGCTTTGAATGTAAAAGCTAATGGCCAAATTTTCTGGGAGGTTCGGATTGAGAGATTTCTGTGAACGAAATAAAATTCAGTGTTACTTGCTATTAAATGTAACTAATACATTTATGTTAAGCTAAATGTTACATACCATATTCCGACTTTTAATGAGATCATCAATTGTCTTCTTCCTAGGAACGATCAAGCTAGTTCTGCTCCTCTGAAGGCAGCCCAAAATATTACCTAACACATGCATAACTTCATCCGATGTTTTAAAAAGATAATGTCTGTCTACATTGTCTATATGGGCAATGCCTTGCTGTAAATGATTAGCAGCATCTTGAATTTGTTGCAACTTCCACGGATGCTCACTTTGAATACTTGTTCTCATATTGACATTCTGTTGTCGCTGTACCTTAAAATTCACTTCCTATGAACAAAATGGAAATTTATTTCAATAAGGCAACAAAGTTAGAAATTATAATTTTACTACAATTGTAATTCTAAGTATAATCTTGATAGTGCACCAAGAACACTTTACCGCATTTGTGATGCTGTCGCCTGTCAAAACAGCAACACATTTCACTTGATCATGTGGGGCTGCAAAAACAAATCTGTCGGTTTTATTGTGCTGATCATTACCGAAGAGAGCCAGTGGGAAGCGTTGAGCACATTCCTTAAAATAGATATGCAAGATTAATATGCATGACCTACGTGTCAGCTACTGATATACTAACATACTGATATATTGACTAGACTACAATATTACATGATTCACAAATGGAATTAAATCAGAATAAATTTTTTAAAATGCTAGATATCATATACAGGAATATTTATACAATTTCTTTGATCCACGTACCATCAAAATATTCCTGAGCTGTGACAACGAGGAGTGCACTTCTTCATGGAGTACCCACTCGAACTCCATTTGCTAGAAGCAAAATTATCGGGATGTTATCGATTCAGTCGGGACAGGATGTTCGCGTTATCTATGCGGAGCGTACTATTTCGGGGAAATGTCAAACGGCATAACCTCAAAAATACTCGCAGCGAGCCGACAAAATGAGTAAGTGTGAAATAATTTAACGCGGCGCAGGAATCTTGCTATCTGATGACTAGGGACTAAATATCTAAGACGATTAGATAAACGCTAAGTAAATAGCTTACGAGATTGTGTGCCTCCTCCTTCTCGCAGTCCGCCATTTTTCAATTGGCGTCTCGCACGGCCGTGTCTCCACCTGTTTTTCGTTTCACACACCACTTTGAGTACACAACTTCATACACATATGATTAATGGATTTGTGTATATATATATATATATA